TAATGGAATAGTTTAGGTTAGATGGGCTTCAGATTGGTTTCACAGGTTGGCGCAACATCGAGGGCCGAAGGGCCTGTACTGCGCTGTAATGTTCTATGTTCTATGTTCTATCTGTGGGATTATGATGTGGTGACTTGGCTTAAGCAAGGACAGATCTTTGTGTTCAATATTCCTGGTTGCTGTGTTCAGAAAAGAGGGGAAAGGATATAAAGGAGGAGGGTAGTGTTTTATGTTCAGGAGAGCCTTGTAGAACTGGAGAAAGAGGATAGTTCAGAGGTTCAAAGGTAGAAATGATTTGGCTTGGACTAAGGAATAAGAAGGATGCAATCACGCTGCTCAATGTAATCTACAGATCACCAGCTACTGGGAACAATACCGAGCAACAAATCTTACAGGGAAATTACAGAGAGGTGTGAACAACAGAGTAGTTATAACAGGGGACTAGATACATCAACAGATAGTGGTAGTGCAAGGGCAACGAGGGGCAAGTATTCCTTGATTGTGTTCAGGAGAATTTCCTCCAGCAGTATGAGCCTAGCCCAATAAGAGACGAGGCACTGTTAGATCGGATTCTTGGGCAAAGAAGATTCCAGCCTCAGGTGACTGTCGGTGTGGATTTTTGGGCGGCATGATGGCACAGTGGTTAGCACTGCTGCCTCACAGCACCAGGGACCTGTGTTCAATTACACCCTCAGGTGACTGTCTGTGTGGAGTTTGCACATTCTCCGTGTCTGCATGGGTTTCCTCTGGGTGCTCCGGTTTCCTCCCACAGTCCAAAGATGTGCAGGCTCGGTGGGTTGGCCATGCTAAATTGCCCGCGGTGTTCAGGGATGTGTAGCTTAGGTAGGTTTTGGGGGGAGGGGTCTGGGTGGGATGCTCCAAGGGTTGGTGTGGACTTATTGGGCTGAAGGGCCTGTTTCCACACTACAGGGGTTCTATGTGAAAAGATCAAGTGACAGTAGGGGAAGGTTAAAGGGAAACAGTTAGGGGACAGTGATCATTCTATCATTACATTGAGGGTGATGGTAGAAAATGACAAAACTGGCAGACAGTGACTTTAACTGGGCAAGAACGGAGCTGGACCAGGTAGCAAGTGCTTTGGGTCTGGAATGCACTGCTTGGAAATGTAGTGATGGCAGGTCCAATTGAGGCATTCAGGATGGCATTGTTTCTTTTTAAATAATCATTCAACACACAGAATTATGGGGAAAACACAGGAATGTAGCATTAAGTTTAAATGTTCAGAGATCAGTGCAGTCTTCATGGGGTGAATGGCCCCCTTTTTACATCATAACAATTATGAGATTCTTTCACCATTTTAAAGATGTCCAGTATGCTGCCCCTGACTTTTCCCCCCAAGTCAAAAGAGACTGACCCATTCTTGACAGTCATGATGTCTGAAGTCTAGGAGATCTAGCTCTAGGAGAACATAATCCTGTCCAACTGGGACCATTCAGTACGTCTCACACTGGCAGCTTTCACAGAGAACTCCACACCAAGATCAGACAGGGCTCAGCAGGTTGAGCCTGCTTGTGCAGTTACCCTCTGCTGTTTGCTCAGTGGACTCCCGTGCACAGCAACCCCAGTAAGAAGCAAACTCACCTAAGAGCACCTACCTGGCACTGGTTGTGGCATCTGACCGCAGCATCTTTACTGCCACCAGAACAGGCCTGTGGCCTGTGTTAAAGAGGAAATCTGGGCGATGGAACTCGTGCAGACTCGGTGCCTCACACAGGTGAACCTGGAGGAGGAGTACAAACTTCATCATGACATGTCAGTCCCAGTGACAAACGCACACTCCCTCCTGGTAATACCCCCGCCCCGAGTGCCCTCTGAGTGAGACCCCACTCCTGCCCGACTGAAACCCTACTCCACCCCGGCTGAACCCCTTCACTCCTTCCCCAACTGACCCTCAATCAGATACATTCCTGCTGACTGACCCTCAACCTCTCACTGCTTCCAGTTAACACTGACACCTCCAGGATTAATCCCCTCATTCAATAACCCTCACATACTCAGCCCCAGTGATTCTCATGTCTGGAGATGCCAGCAGACTCCCACCATGTCTCATTGACACAATGCACAGGCCATGGGCAAGTCACACCTATGGCAGGAGGCAGGTTGGTGTTAAAAAGCCCTTACCTCCCCAAACTGCCCCTCCCCCAGTTTCTCCTTAAAGTGCAGTTGATGTCGGGAGATTTCCTCCACGGCCAGCTCCATCTTGACCAGAGAGTCCACGGTGAGTGCAGGAACAGCGTACGTGTTGTTTCCAGTCACCCCTTGCAGATTGATGATATCAGCCTCTGCGTAATGTGGCACATTACTCTGGAAACCCTGGTGCGGAGTGGTTTTTGTGAGGTCTGGTTCTGCATAGTCGCCACTACACACTGGGCAAAGGACACAAGGAAAGTTAACGTGGCAGCTGGAGAAAGGGCATTGACAGACACAACTTAATTCTTCCCACCTTCTTCATTTGCTCTCAGTTCACTCAATGACCCTTTCACTGAACCCCAGCCAATCCACGCCAGTGAACCTGAACAGGAGAAGCAGAGGGTCGGGGGATTGGCCGTGATGTGGGATTCAGATCATTCATAAGTTTCCCACCTGTCTTAGCCTCAGGCAACATTCTGTTACAGTGAGTATTCTCTCAATATTTTTCTGTCTTCAGTGCGATGCACAAATGCAGCCAGCATTCTCAGCTGGCCCTGATACGACGAGCCCCAGGAAATGTTAGTGCCTGTGCCTGTCACATCACGCTGTACCACATGGATCGTCTACCCATGTGGAATGGAGGTGGTGACGGAGGCTGAGTTGTCAGTGTGGGAGCTGGTGGGGGAACAGTGGGAGCTGAATGGGTGGGGGAGGGTGAGGGGATTGGCTTGTGGGTGAAAAAGGCCTACTCTGGGAGCCATTCCCTTCTTCTTACAAGCGCTGGGGCGGGGGGGAAGATTGGGAGTTCACGGCAGGAATGGGAGAGAGTAGGAGGCTGCTGAGAGAAAATGAAATAAATCCTCTCTCTTCTGTCTCAAGTTCCTTAACTGTACACCCAAAAGCTGCTTTTTTATTGGTTGCTATCTTCCTTTCAGAGGAAGGAAAAAAAAAGAGAAATTCCAATTGTTTACCACCTTCCCCAACCTCAGTGCTTTGCAAGTGTTGCCACATTGTAGGAAATACACAACTATTTTGTGCACACCAAGATCCCACAAAAGTCCTGAGCTCACAGACAGTTGATCAATTTTCAGTCATGTTGGTTGAAGGATAAATTTTGGCCAAGGCTGTCTTTCTCCTCTTTTGCTCTTTACCATCACTGAATCCCATGTTATCAATATCATGGTTACTTTTCATTGACCAGAAACTGTCACATGTAGGCCAGACCCAGTAAGAATGGCAGATTTCCTTCCCTAAAGGGCATTAGTAAAGCAGGTGGGTCTTTACAACAATTGATGATAGTTTCCATGGCCACTATCACAAAGACTAGCTTTCAATTCCACATTTATTAACTGAATTCAAATTGCACCAATTGCTGGAGAGGGATCTGAGCCCACACCCCCAGTGCCTGCCCTCCAGGTACCTAGTCCAGTGATATCACCATGATATAACCATCCCCCATTTGAAATGGTCATTCCAGGCCACAGAAGTCCTGGATTGTGACTATAGTTTGCAAATTGCCAGATTGTGCTGTAGTATTGGTGCTGAGCCTAACATGTGGTGAAGTTACTTTCCCAGTACGGACAGGGAGACATCCAGGATCACGAGCAATGACAAAGAGATAGCTCATGTCAAGGCCTCTCTCAGATGGGACAGGATTTGTAACCCTCCTCATGCCAGACTTAACTCCAAACACAATCCACTAGGAGGCCAATATTCCTCCTAGGCACAAAATGAATGCGGTTGCAGAAACCTGGGTTACTGCAGTGATTTAGAATCATAGAATCCCTACAGTGCAGAAGCAGGCCATTCAGCCCATTGAGTCCACACCGACCCTCCAAACAGTGTCCCACCCAGACCCACCCCACCCCTGTAACCCTACATTTCCCATGGCTAATTTACCTAACCTGCACATCCCTGGACACTATGGTGGCAATTTTGCATTGGCCAATCCACCTACCCTGCACATCTTTGGACTGTGGGAGGAAACCCATGCAGACACATGGGGAGAATGTGCAAACTCCAACTCTCCCAAGGGTGGAATTGAATCTGGGTCCCAGGCGCTGTGAGACAGCAGTGCTAACCACTGAGCCACCGTGCCACCCCGCCACCCCACACCATCCCACACCATCCCCCCATGCTCGCTTCTAACAGCCTAGGACATCCAGGCAGGGCCACCCAATCTGTAGCTCACAACCCGTACTGAGGTCAGGAATGAGAGTTTGAGGTTGTGGGCCCTACAGTAGTAGTTGTGGGGTTGCGAGGACGGAGCATGGCTAAGGGCGAAGGATGGGGAAATGGGGAGCACTTAACACCTTCCCCTACATTGCCCTCCAACGTGCTGCTCAACTACTGAAGCTACCTTCTAATACATCTTCAATTTCTGCAGCACCAACCTGAATCCTCTGCACTCTGAGAAAGCTCTGGAAGCTTGCGTAACAGCCTGGCAGGTTCCTGATATTCCAGATCAAATGGAAAGACGCGCTCATAAGTGGGGTTGGTCTGAAATATCTGTGTCTGGTTACTAATGACAATGGTGTCATTGCACAAGGATGGACGCACAGTCGCATCCTCCTCTAAGATTCTCCGTGGAGCCTTAGTAAATAAACAGAGCACAAACAGCATTAGACCATAATAACCACAGACCAAGCCACCAGTCCCAAAATATTACAGAGCTCAGACCATAATAGCCATATACTCTAAGCCCCTGCTCTCAACAGATTACAGAGCTGGGAGCAGAAAGCTGGGGAGCTTAAAGGCACGAGGTTAACCGAAATGGGCACAGACTGGGGACAGATATTGGCACCACACAGCTCCATTCAACAGTAAGCATTTTGCAGGAGAAAAGGGCATTACTGCTTGGGCGTATGGGGTTTTGCAGGTGGGTGGCCACATGGCAGGATGGTACAGGAGAGTACATGTACAGGGAAATGAGGCAGTGACAAGGGAGAGCAAGGGGGAGATACTGTGACAGAATTAACAGTGCCAGGCTGCTGAGGTTATGAAGACAGTGCACGGTGTACAGGAAGAGCCAGCTGTCATAAAATTGACAGGGCTGTTGTTAAAGGGGATGCATCAAAGTGGTAGGGGACTTTTAAAGGGGGCAGTGCAGATTGATGGTATACTATTAAAGGGAACACAGCACAGTGATGGGATGTTGTTAAAGAGGACGAAATGCAGTATAAAAGACACCAGAGGTTAAGGTTGGTTGACCAGACTCTAAATACCTCCTTTTCTAGGAAGAGTTTTATTCCAATTCAGACCTTACAAATCTCCGACACACTGATTAGTTCTTCCTCAGATATACACCCAGTTCTCACCCAATAGTCACATAACCATCACCTGTGCCCTGCTAGATGAGAATAGATCCCCCTTTAGATTTTAATGGTTTAGTTTAGAAATGACGAAAAAACTAAAATACAAACAAATACAACTTACTGTGCAGAATGACAACATTATCTTCCTGCTTTAGTGTACACAAGAGTTCCAAATGTTCTTTTCTTAGAAAAAAACTTAATAGTTTCTGAGAACTTTCTCCTTCCTTTAAAAGAATCAGATAGCTGACTGCTGCTATCCACCCATTGGAAAAAGTGAAGATTTCTCCATTCTGTTTTAAAACTGCTATATAGATCCTTGAATGAAAAGTGTGTTTTGAAATTCCCATATTTTGTCAAATGTACTTTATCCCATAGTGACTTATTTTTGATATCACAATGAATGTTGTTGCTGAATCCCTTTTTTTCAGGATTTCTTCCAATATTTTCTCTAAGAAAAACATCACATCCACCACTTTGTCAAGAATGAGAGATTCAGTCGCTAAGGTTATTGCTCATCTGATCTTTTCAGCTTCCCAAACTAAAGAGTAACATTTACCCACTTTTCCAACAAGAAAAAAGTATAAATCTCCCTGCACTTGAGAACTCTTCAGAGAGATTCGTGCAAGAAGCATCACCAAAACATACTCCAGGCATCTCCCAATAATGGACATTTCAAAACACTGCTCCATTTTTAATTTTTCACTGTTTTGTTCTTCCAAACAGCAGATTTTTCATAGTCTTAATCAACTCTAATATTTTAAAACCAGTATCTGGCCTTGCTTAGGCATCCAGCTAATTCAGCTATCCAAGTAGACTTTGCAATTCCTCTTTTTCAGTTTTGGAAGATGCTGTATCTTCCAAGGTCTTACTTTGACAATTACCAGTTTCCAAATAAGACTGAGGTAGTGACACTTAATCCATTTCTAGTCCAATTAACTTAAAAGCCTCACTTCCAGTTTTGAATGCTGCTTAAATGCCATTTATGACTATGTTTTCAAACTCACTGCTGTCACCTCACAAAAATAAAAATCATCTATGTGCATCGTAAAGATGCGTGAAATCTGCTCGCTACCAAAATCACCTCACACCACTCCCCCGGCCCCAATCAAGGAGGCCAGCAAAGACAGTACAATTTTAACAAGCAGGACCTTATTGAGAAGGACCAAACTCTACAGGCATCATTTAGGTCATGTACACATTTACGCAAGTTTTAGAGTATCTCCAAAATACATGGTGCCTCTTTTGGGTGGTGAAGGATCACCTTCCTGTTGAGGTGATCTCCCTGCAGAAACGCAACTTTAATATCAATTGATCTACATTCCCAAGAAATTGCTGCTAACAAATCCAAAAATATCTTCAAAATTCCTTTACTGCCATCAGTGAAGTTACTCTGACATCGTTCCTGGTCTGTAGTTTATTCCTTGATCTTGTTAAGCTATACCTTTTATCTTGCCTTCTATCACTTTATGGCCTGTTACTGTTTGATCTCCTCCTCCTATTAAAAGAATTCCTTTCAACAGTCCCTGAATCTCTTTCCAGAGACATGTTCATTCCTAAAACCACTTTCTGAGGTTACAAAAATAGAAGGAAAGAAAACACGGTGTATTTTGTGTTCACAATCCATGGGTCTACAGCTTTCCCCCATCCAATTATATTTCCTAATGATTGTCTCTGCTCTGCTTCTAATATGTCACATTTCTCCATTGACTGGGCTGTCTGGAAAATAGATGATTTGGTTACCCACATTTAGTAGTTGGCCTCTGTGACCAATGAGCACAGCCCAGTGGTGGAGGGTTGTTAAAGGGGACATGACCCAGGGTTCAGGCTGTTAAAGGGGCGTACCTTCTCGAGGATCCTCTTCCAGTGCTGCCTCCACAGGATAACGATGATGATCAGGAGGAGGAGGAGGATGATGGTTACCAAACAGCCAATCAGAATAGAGGTATTGCTGTCCTCAACCTTGTTAATGGGTCTGCTGATGTTGTGAGGAGGGGAGCTGCCTGTCGGGAGACAGAGATAGAGAAAATGTGAGACAGACATAGACAGTGCGAGAAAGAGAGGGGGGAGGTGGGAGAATGTCAAAGAGACAGGGAGAAAGGGAGAGAGAGAGAGAGAGAGATACAAAGAGGGAGAACAGGGAGAGAGGCAGTGAATGAGAGGGGCAGAGAGAGAAAGAGACAGGGAGAGTGAAAAAGTGGGGGAGAGTGGGAAAGAGACAGGGAGAGCGAAAGAAGTGGGGAGGGGGGTTAAGAGAGAGAGAGATAGACACACAGACAGAGAGAGAGTAGGACATGGGGAGATGAAAGATAGCAATGGCCAAGTTCTGCAAATCCCAGAAGCTCTTTACCAAGAGTGAGGGTGGCGAGGCTGTTAACAGTGTCACTCAGTGTGGGGCTTAGAGAACTGGACATGCTCAGTGTTGGTGAGGGGCTGGGCCTGGAACCTAGATCAAGGCCGGCATTCGGTCTGGGAGTACTCAGAACCGGTGGGATTTGGGAAGTGCCCTCTCTCCAGGACGGCTGAGGGTGTTCCAAAGGATTCGCTGCCCCCACATCTGTCAAAAGGCAAAAGATCCAATTAAAACCCCATTGTCACACCAATTTCAGAAAGTAAATGATGAGGTAAGGGCAGGGAAAGGGGTAACTCCACAGAAACACATTGCTGCCCTCCCCATTTCCCAGACATTTCTCCATGTCTCCTGGGACCTTCCCACATTCCCTAGGACTACCACTGTCGATGTCTGGAGCCTGACACACACAATTCACCTGGTAGCCGCAGCCTAGAGAATAATCATTAACGGGAAGTGCGTTTTGTCTGCTTGATTCTATCATATACACATGTACCAGCAGAGGGAGTCTACTAGAATAATGGATAATAGAATGAACAGTTATCTAATCTGGTCTGAAGAGATGCCTGAGATCCAACGGAACGAGGTGACGGGAGATGGATATATTAATTAAGGGTTAATGGGGGTGGGGGGGGAATTGATTGTATAATCATGGGGAGTTAGTAATCAGTGGGTGAGTGTTTTACAGAGTGTCTTTAACTGAAATAAAGCTCTCGTTTAGAAGTGTTATCTTTTCACTTAAGTGCAGGAGGTTTATAGGCGACTTTATAGAAGTTCATAAAGTAATGAGGGGTATAGATTGAGTTAATGGTATTTGTCTTTTCCCTAGGATGGGGATTTCAAGACCAAGGGGCACATTTTTAAAGTGGGAGGAGAGATTTAAAAAAGACATGAGGGGCAATTTTTTTTACTTAGAGGGTGGTTTGTGTACAGAACTAACTTCCTGAGGAAGTAGTGGATTACAACATTTAAAAGACATTTGGATAACTACACGAATAGGAAAGGTTTGGAGGGATGTGGGCCAAGAGCAGGCAGGTGGAACTAGTTTTGTTTGGGATTATGTTTAGTTTGGGCTGGTTGCACTGAAGGGTCTGCTCCCGTTCTGTATGAGTTTATGACTCTATAAATAGCTTGTGCAGTTCCAATTCTGAACGATTCTGGCTGACTATAAAACTTGTTCGTATTCAAAGAACTTTACAACCGCCCCCCTGTCACTACTTTTCAGATTAATATTCAAGACCCAATGACATCATCATCGTGGTTAAAAGGACCCTGCTGTCTACCTGTGAGACTGAGCTCAAGGACAGGCCTTGGTTGCTGATGGAGCAGTGATAGCTCATTACCTGCGACTGTTGACTGGAAGGAGATCTCACTGAACAACATCCAGTGATCTGCAAAGTAGAACCGGCAGCAGATCGCCTTACCCAGCCTCTGGCCTAGGGGCACAACCACAAACCGCGCACTCGGGTTCTTGTCGTCCATAACCGTGGTCACCCCGACCGACTCACGCTCCCAGTTCGCCACCAGCTGCTGCTTGAAGTAGCACTCGACCCGATGGAAAATCTTCACCGACTTTGTGTACAGATTGTTACAGTGAACCTGTGGGAGAGACTGAGTCAGTCCAGAGAGAAAGAGAGAAAAGGGACAGAGGAGGAGGGGATGAATGGAGGGGAGCATAGGGCAAAGGGACACTAAGAGTGGCCAGGGAAATGAGAGGACAGATGAATTCAGTTGGTCAGTCACAAAGACAAAGTCAGAGAGAGTGAGAAAGAGAAAGAGAAGGAACCCAATATGACTGTAAGAAGAGATCGTGTGTGTCAGATTGAAAGGGAAAGGATGGGAACGGGGCAATGATTGAGGACAGTGCAAGCAAACTGTGGGGTGTGGGGGGTGACGGAGGACAGGGGGAGGGGAGCGATGGAAAGGACCGGGGAGGGGAGCAATGGAAGAATGGGATAGGGTAGAAAGCTATCTGTCTCAGGAACAGAGAACTGAACTGAAAGACTTGTTGCAACACAATGAGGATGTGTGTAGAAATAGAATGGGGAGGACTAATATTATAGTACATGTGGTGGATGTAGGGAATGCTGTTCCGATAAAACAACAGGCTTAATCCTCTCAAAGCAGCACAGGTACAGAACGAAGTGGAAGCGATGTTCCAAGGAGACATCATTGAGCTGAGTCAAAGCAAGTGGAATTCGCCAATTGTGTTGGTTCTCAAACCTGAAGGTGCTCAATGATTCTGTGTGGATTACTGGAAGGTCAACACCGTGACTGAATCAGACTCATCCCCAATTCCAAGGCTGGAGAACTGTGTAGAAAAAGTAGGACAAGCTACTTACATCACAAAGTTGGTCTTGCTTCATGGTTACTGGCAAGTACCTTTGTCGGAGACAGTGAAAGAAGTTTCTGTGTTTGTAACCCCAAATGGGCTGTAGCAGTTTAAAGTAATGCCCTTTGGAATGAAGAATGCACCAGCCACGTTTCAAAGACTTATGAACAGATTTGTGGCAGGATTAACTCATTGTGCCGTGTATATAGATAACTTAGTGATCTTTATCATTCGTGGAATGATCACATGGTGCATTTGGCAGAGCTCTTTGAAAGACTAAAGGAGGCAAAACCGGTTATAAATTTAGCAAAAACTGAATTGGCGAAGGTGGAAGTGACATTCTTAGGACACAACATTGGACATGGAAGGATGACATGGAGGAACGTGAAGACAAAAGGCCATCGAGAAATTTCCAAGACCATCCTTGAAGAAGGAAGTGCTACGCTTTTTGGGACTGAGTGAATTCTACAGGAAATTTGAACGAAACTTTAGTAGCGTGGTAGCACCGCTGATGGGTTTGTTAAAGAAGAACATGAAATTTCAGTGGACAGAACAATGCCAGGAGGCATTTGAGAAGTTAAAAGCAGCGTTAACCACTGCACCAGTTTTAGCCACACCAAATTTCTTGAAACCCTTTAATGTCGCTATCGACGCAAGTGATGTAGGGGTTGGAACTGTGTTGTTACAATAGGATAATTGTTGAACTGAAAGGCCAATCAGTTATTTTTCAAAGAAACTCAATAGCCATCAGAGAAAATATTCAACTCCGTTGTAAAAGAGTTATTGAGTTTGGTACTGGCCTTACAACATTTTAATGTTTATATTGCGAACAATATATCGGAGACAGTTGTGTACACTGATCACAACCCTTTGACACTTTTGGAAAGACTTAAGGACGAGAACATTAGACTATTTCTTTGGAGTCTTGTTACAAGCATTTAATTTACAGATTGTACATGCTGCGAGTCGTAAAATGTTTTTGCAGATGCATTATCGCGGGATTAAAAGAAATGTATGTATAAAATAGAAATGGTAGTGTTCAATGTTATATACGTGTATAGAATTAGTATGAAATGTGCAACTTTAGATTAATGCATTATGATTTAGTAATAATGGCATTAAGATTTAGAAAATAAAGGAGCTATCTTGTCATAATGATAGGTCATTTTTCTCTTAAGGGGGAGGGTGTTGCATACTTGGTTTGAGTTGGTTTATGAATTAGAAGGCAGGATGTTAGAATCTTAGTAAAAATGATAGGGAGAAGACAGTGTGGTCCCTTTAAGAGGTGATTTGCTTTTCTAAGCTTGGAGATAAAAAAAGTCTGCAAGCACCTGTGGATGTACAGACAGTTCTGAATTTGAACCTATGTATCAATTGGCAACCAAGGTTTGTTGTGATGTTAAAGCAACCAGCTTGAATATCACCAATTAATTTAACCAGGCCCTAGATACAAAAACCCAATTAAATTTAAATCTGATGGTGTTGACAACCTAGGACCAATCCTATTATAAGAAAATTGACAGGTCATCAAGGGTATATAAGAAGAGATTTTTTGAAAATCAGTGTGAGAGCGAACTGCCATCAGAAGAGTAAAACTCTGGTGCTCTCAGAAATCTTTAAGCTCTCTGATTAAGCACCATCTAAAAGGCATTCTTTGCTAATATTCCTGACACAAGGATTTGACGAAGAGAGAATTCCTGACTGAAGAATAGCAGAAAAGGGACGGATCATTCTGGAAGATGCATCCTGATTATAGTTTTGAGAATCTAAGTTTTAATTTATTTTTCTTAATATTTTGAGTTATTTAAGTGGGACTTGTATTTATTGGAAAACATGCCATTAGAATTTTGTTCTGTTCGGGAAAAGTTAGTAGTTAAGTTTGTTAGTAGGTCTGTTAACTTGTTTACTGTTAGAGTTAAATAAATAGACTGTTAGTTGTTGCTTATAAAGTATTTCTTTCATTTAACCTCTCCTTTCTAATAGATTGGGAGGTGAAAGGCAGGTTATGCCATTTTTCTTATTTCCTTTAGCAGATTACGAGGTGAGATGAGTTTCTCTGGGTGTTTCACTTTTAATTATCACAGGGGTTCGACCTCCTCGCCATAACATTTATTTCACTTGTTATGTTGTGCTGGGGGAGGGTAAGGGTTGGCAACAAGCAGAAAAACAATTATCTGCTTCAGTGGGAGTTTGGAATTTCACTCTGAACACACAGTGTTCCTAGGCTTCCTGGAAGGTGTCAGTGAAATCAGTTGGACAACAGTGGGATCGTGGGGTATTGAACAGCAAAATAAATCCTCCAATCACTGAGACTTCAGTTCCTTGTCCAAGCGATAGGTTTTGACTCTTAATGTTCTTTATTCATTCATTCACAGGATGTGGGTATTACTGGCTTGGCCAGCATTTATTGTACTGAAGAACATTCCCTGGTGGTCTAGTGGTTAGGATTCGGCGTTTTCACCACTGTGGCCTGGGTTCGATTCTCGGTCAGGGAATAGAAGTTCTGCAGTGGTCAGTTAGCTCAGCTGTTACAGCGTGGTGCTAATGACGCCAAGGTTATGGTTCAATTGCCATACTGGCCAAGCCTGTAGAATTCTAGCCACGATGTTTGGGTGCACGGTGGCTGTGGTTTGCACTGCTGCCTCACAGCGCCAGGCAACTGGGTTCCATTCCACCCTCAGGCGACTGTCTGTGTGGGGTTTCCACATTCTCTCAGTGTCTGCGTGGGTTTCCATCGGGTGCTCCAGTTTCCTCCCACAGTCCAAAGATGAGCAGGTTAGGTGGATTGGCCATGCTAAATTGCCCATAGTGTTCACGGATGCGTCGATTAGGTGGGTTATAGGGTGATGGGTCTGGGTGGGATGCTCTGAGGGTCAGTGTGGACTTGTTGGGTCGAAGGGCCTGTTCCCACACTGTTGGCATTCTATGATCTATGATCACTGGAGGTGAGCTCCATTATATAGTTTTGTACATCTGATCAACATCCTCCACCTGATAAAACACCAATGGGTCATGCCTCTGCCACCTTGTGGAGGAGTTCATCACCAGCAACAGCTATCGGCCACTCTACAGGGCAAACAGAGAGATACAGCTCAAAGGAAATGATGCATCAAGCACAGCATTAACAGAGTATCAGTTGCTGGACGTGGCCCAATACCAGCGGCAGACTGCTTTACCTCCCCTAGGCAGAATCATAGAATCCCTACTGTGTGGAAGCAGGCCATTTGGCCCATCAAGTCCACACCCACCCTTCAAAGAGCATCCCACCCAGACCCAACCCCCCTATCCTATCCCTGTAACGCAGCATTTCTCATGGTTAACCCACCGAACCTGCACATCCCTGGACCCTATGGGCAATTTAGCATGGCCAATCCACCTAACCTGCACATCTTTGGACTGTAGGAGGAAATTGGTGGAAACCCACACAGACGTGGGGAGAATAGCAAACTCTACACAGACAGTCACCCGAGGGTGGAATCGCATCTGGGCCCTTGGCACTGTGAGGCAGCAGTGCTAACCACTGAGTCACTCCCTCCCAGGCAGGGAAGAGGGAGGAGTGAAGAAAAAATGAGAGAAAGTGGGAGACAGAAAAGGGGAATGGGAAAGACAAAATGAAAGGAGAGAGAAAGAAGGAAGAAGACAGAGAGAAAAATGGGGAAGCAATGGGGAAGCAGTGGGAAAGAGAAAGGGAGGAAAATTAGGTGAGTAGGAGAAAGGATGGAAGGAAAGAAAGTGGAAGGAAAGAAAGAGGAAGGAGACAGAATGAGAGACAGCGAGCAGTTATGAGAGTTAACTGAGTGAAATAGCACCACGACAGGAGACAGTGATTCTTAGCATTACTAGCTCCTGCTGATGCTGCCTAGCACTCAGCCTAAGGGAAAGTGTATTTAAGAGAGATTGAAGGATTCAGGAGGAGGTTGTATGGAGGAGATACTCAGGAGGTGGGCACAGGAGGTGAGAAACAGACTGAGGTCCAGCCTGACAGTCAGCACACCACAAGCTTCTCACGCACTGACCTTCATGCTGGAGAAGTTCCTGCGTTGGTCAAACTCGAACTCCAGCTCCACGTATTGGTCAGCAAAGGTCTCGTTGCTCCAGCCGACGTAGTCGTACCCTGGCCACACGCGGTACTCGTGGCTCTGGGTGAAATCATCCAGCCCCAGGACCCCATCTGTCAGCTGACCCAGACCATTGTGACTGCGCCTAAGCAGAGGGTGGCATCAGTCAGATCTCAGCCAGGATCAGACCCAAGGTGAGGGCTAGCAACAGGTTAAACATCCAGCCCTCCCACCCATTTCTCGGAGCTGCATCACCATAGGCTGAGGGGCCTGGTCACACTCTGTGTAGGTAATAGATGCTTGTTGAAGACCGTATTCCTGATTTCAGAGATATGTAGTATACGGATTACAAGGTAACCAGAAACAAAGGCTCTATCCAGCAATTGGTCAACATCGTTACTTTGCACCGACCAGGCAATAGCACAATCAAACCATTTATGATTGACAGGAACAACTAAGTGCATTGAAAATTCGAGGTGTACCCAGACCCTAATCTTGGGTCGTGTGATAAGTACTGGATAAAACTACTGCGTTATCACTGCTTAGCTACCATAATATAGAGGCTTACTTGGAGTCCTGAACACCATCATAGGTAGAGTCATTGAGGTAGACGACTGCTGTCCCTGGCTTTTCGATGGTCTGTCCCACAGGCCCACTGTATGAATACAGGCCATCTAGACACAGATATCAATGAGAAGATCAGCTTCTCTTACACACGTGATCACTCACATACACCCACAGGATAGCAGCGACCCAGGAAAAGAAGTCCGCTTGAGTTAACATTTCGGGTCCGGTGACCCTTCCTCAGAACTGGACCCAAAACATTTTAACACTGACTTCTCTTCAAAGATGCTGCCAGACTTGCTGAGCTTTTCCAGCAACTTCTGTTTTTGTTCTAGTTATTACTTGTTTAATAATAATTCTTGCAATTTCTCAATGCTAGATATTGGACAAGCTGGAATTTAGTTTACTGCTTTCTGACTCCTTCCCTTGTTGTGGCGTTACATTTATATTGTCTGTTATAAACTCGATGTATATTAAATACGGAGGCCAGCAACCCCTGGACATCACGGAGGGAATCGCAAACTGCTTGGGATAATCCCACAATTTGCTGTAATAAAAGCAGCCTCAGCTGCTCCGAATCTTTAAACTGCAGGTGGGAAGATCAAGGAACAGACAAACTCACCAGCCCAGACACAGCCATACAGCTCGACCCGCATACACACACTTGACGGCTGCTCAGTCACTGGGATCACCCGCACATAGCGGGCGATGATCGGAGGCCGTAAGTCCTTCAGGACAATATCGTAAGTGTTGACATTTCCAGGAATAATCTATAAAACAAAAGGACGTGCCAAAGATTTAGAAGGCTGCAGGTTGGTACAGGGCCTGTACCTGTACAGAAAAGTAGCACAGTGCGTGAAGCTGTGGACTGAGCAAACGCATTTGGCTCAGTATTTTACCAAAGTCTACTGACCTGTTCCCGTCTCACGGTGTATGATCCAACCCCATCAGCAGTGTGATGTCAGGGGCGTTGACAGTGCTATCAAGTAGCACTTTCTCATTCATGGGATTATAAAAGAGATGGCCAATTAAGTGGTAGACACATTGATGTTAATTCTCCAAAATCCACAAAATCCTGGAAAGGTTCCACCAGGTTTCAAAGTAACAGACATAAACTCCTCTCTTCAAGAAAGGAGGGAGGGAGGCAGCAAACTATAAACCAGTTAACTTGGCATCTGTCGTGGGGAAGGTGTCAAAACTGATTGTTGAGGTGGTTATAGTTGGGCATTTAGAAAAATAACTCAAGGTGATCACAAGAAGTTAGCACAGTTTTGTGAAATAGAAAGCATACTTAAACTGGTTTATTTGAGTTCTTTGAGGGAGTAATGTGCTGTGGATAAATGGAAGCCTGTAGACTTACGATAGTTAGATTTCCAGAAGGCATTTATAGAAGTGCCACATAAGAGGTTAATGCAAAAAATAAGGAGTTCATGGTGTGAGGAGTAACATATTA